TCTTTTAGCTAGACTTTTCCACCTATTTCCTAGAGGAGTTCCAGATAAGCATTTATAAATGATGCTAAGTTTGAGAGGCATTCTTTTCCCACTGTAGTTAAGAAGGTCCAGATTATTCGGTCTAAATCAGCCAATCAATCCACCTTCTGATATAATTGACGGTGGAGTCCTATGCAAGTCTGTTCAGAAGAAAACTGCACTGTGTTCAGCGGAACTTGCTCCCAGAGAAGCATTTACTGTAGAGAATCACAGCTTACGAGTATCCCCTTTTATGAGAATAGAACTAATTGCATAAGCATAATCAAACTAGTAATAAAGTTAACCATTACTACATTAGCCCATTAAACACAGAGTCATGTCCTGTAATTACTCACCCATTTAAAATCCTTTAGCTGGGGAATTCTTGTGCTGGATAGCAGGAAAAACACGTTGGGATCGAGCTGAACTTGCAAGCACGACGGTGGCATAACCAGAACGGCAAGCAACTCTTGTGAGTGCTGGAGGCACACGGCCTCCCGAGCTCCACCGGTTCCAAGGCACCACCCATGGGCCACGGCGCTTCCCAAACTGTCAGGGCAGGACCCTTCCCAGCACTGCCTGGGCATTTTGCAAATGGCTCCTAAGAAAGCAGAAGTATTTGCGCAAGGGTGCTGCAGACAGCGTGCCACAAATGTGTCTCACGATAGCGGCAGTCCGCACCTGTGCTTGCCGGAGCGTGAAGCCAGATGGAAAGCGACAAGGGCCTGGGCCCCTTGGGTGGGGAGGCCTCTCCTGGGGTGCATGCAACAGAGGGGAGGAAGAACCTGACCTGGAGGCTGCCCCGGGTGAGTCAGTGGGCTTCCTCCTTTTACCTGTATGCGACTTGCAGTGGTGCAGGGCGTGAATCCTGGCGTCAGACAGCTTGCCTGTGGTCTGGCTCCCCTTCCTGGCCCACTTGCCAAGAAGGCTTTTGCGGTGAGCAGCTCTTGCCTTCCCTCCCTTCCTCTGCAGCAGACGAAGTCAAGAAGCAGAGCCCCTTCATGAAAGCCGAGCAGCTTACAAAGCAGAAGGCATGAAAGCAACTTTCTCCTTGACGTGGGGGAGAAGCATCCGCCCGTGTGCAGAGCTGGCTCCAAACTGTAAGTTCCTCTCCCTCCCGCCCGTTCAGGCTGCCTCCAGGTGATTGAGGGTGAGATGCCAGGAATGCCACACGCCTCTCGCCTCCTGCCAGGGTGGAGGAGCTCCCGCAGCACCTCCTCCTTGCCCTGCTTCTGAAGCGCCTCCCTCCCTTTCCAAGGCAGGCAGGGTCTCAGGCTCTGCCTGAGCATCTTTGCCAGGTGACCCTGAAACAACGGAGGCTTCTGCTCCTCTGCCTCCCCTCAGACCACACGAATCCATCTGAGAAGACTGAAGCGTGTGAGAGCTGCCCCTCTCTGCAGGTGTTGGGGGACGGCCATGTCAGGGGACCTCCAGAGCACACACCACCACTGTGAGCGCCTCTCGCTACCCTGGGTGCAGTGAGCGAGCCGACCTGGTCTTGACGCCCCTTCCCAGATCCCGTAGGAGGACCCCCACTGAGTGGGAGCAGGGATTGTCAGATGGGTCCAGTCCAATGCCCATCGTGGCACAGAGAGGTGCCCCACTGGTCTTCCCTCTCCCCACACTAAGAGAGATGCCCTTCGAAGAGGATGCTGTTGCGTCTCTTCAGCCCTTGCAGGCCAAGTGTGGTGTTGGGGGCTGAATGCTGAATCCTCTTGAGTGTGAAAAAGTGTCGTGTCACGTGGCGCATTCATTTCCTCCTGGCCACATGCACTCAAACAGCGTCTTCAACCCATTTCCAAACTCCGTAGAATCACAAAACAGCAATGTTGAAGGAGGCCTATGGACCACGGGGTGCAGCCCCCTGCTCAGTGCAGGACCCCAGCTGGCGCATCCCGGGGAGGTGCCCGGCCACCTGCCTCTGGAAGGCCCCCAGTGTGGGCGAGCCCACCACCTCCCGGGTCACTGTTCCATTGCCGTCTCCCTCATATGCTGGCTTGCTGCAACTGGAACCCAGCCCTCCACATCCTGCACTCTCGGGTGACCAAGAAGAGATCCTGGCCTTCCTCTGTGTGACCACCTTCCGAATGCTTGAAAAACGCTGTCGTGTCCCATGTTCACCTTAGAAATACTCCTGTCCCTGTCGTGAACGGCTGGTCCTTTGTGGCATATGGGCTTCCACAGGAGGTGATTGAGGCCCCATCGGTGAGGGTGTTCAAGGCTAGGCTGGACATGCACATGGTGGGCATGTCATGAGTGGAACGGGCTGCAGCTGGGGGTCAGACTAGATGGCCCAGAAGACCCCTTCTGACTCTCTCTGTTTCTATGTTTCTAATGTCTGCCTTTCCTGCCTCTCCTTCCCTTTTCTGTTGTGTTCATACCCTATTGCTTTCTCCTCAAGTGCCCCCCACATGCTGAGTACCTGATCCCCAAACTTCCCAAATCTATATGTAACGGATAAGGTATAAAAGCATCTTGTATGGACTTCATCTTCAAAGACCCTTCAAGGACTGTCTACACGTTACATGGATTTCCATATGGGGGAATAACCTGGAGGTACTCTTTTGATTGCACCCCCCAGCTGACTCCCAAAGGGTGGGTTTTTCACTCTTGACCTTGCTCTTGACTCAGTCACTCTGCCGCTGGAAGGGCACGTGGGCAGAGCTGGGCTTTTGGGCGCAAACCCCTCCCTGGATCCCACGCTTGGCAGTAAACCATGACTCACAGGTTTGCCGTATGGGCATCAGGAGTGCTCCCCACGAGACTCAAAGCAGCCACGTTTCTAGCCTGTGGGTGATGTTGCGGAGGAGAGGAGCTCCTTTTGTGCACTTGGGACTTCATGGAATCAGTGACCCGAAGGGGACCTTGGGGGATGCCTAGATCAGCCCCAAGCTTGGTGCCGGAATGACAGAGCCAGACCCACAGCAATGGGGCTGACCTCTGCTGAAGTCTCCAGCAGGGAGAGCCACCTGCCTGCCTCCCAGATAACTGGCTCCATGGTCAAGCAATCTTGCCATCAAGACCTTCCTCCGAAAGTCCCACTGAAGCCCAGTCTCCTGCCCCAGAAGCCTGTGAGGCTGGGAAGGCTGTTCTAAAGGTCCCCCTGGTTTCCTCGGGGGCAGCAGGGAACATCTGAAGAGCGCTGTCCGGCTGGCACTCAGCCTTCTCTTCTTTGCAGTAGAACTTCCCAGTTCCTTCTGGCTTTCCCAGAGGATTCGTGTCCCAGGTCACTGACTGTCCTGCGCCCTCCTCCCAACCTCTTCCAGCCTTTCCGCATCCTTTGGAAACCGCAGTATTTGAGCATGTTCCCTTGCAGTCCTTGTCCCTCCACCTGGCCCCTTACTGACCCTTACATTCTGCATACCAGAAAGAGGCACCTTGGCACTTGCATGTGCAAGATGCCCAGGAGAGGGAGAGGCCTGGGCCCCAGAGGATACCCCCTGGGACGCCTGCCTTTCCGGTAGTTGGCAAGGAGCAGGAAGGTAGCCAGGAACACCAGAACCACGGGGAGAGACAAGCCCTCCTGGAGCGCGGGAAGTAAGCGCCGCAGCATCTTCACCCTCTGCAGTTGGCCAAGCCGGACGGTCCATGGAGGGAACCCAGCAAAAGGAGCTCTGCCTTTCTCTCCTCGGCTGTTGTATTTTTCCTGCAGCTGCTGCAATGAAGGAGGACAAAGTCTGCCTGCCAACGGGCAACACACCTCTCCCACTGAAGAGAGATTGCCCCGCCTTTCCCCTAATATAGAAGCAGGAGAAAATCATCTTTATTAATTTCCAAGGAATGATGAGGCATTTTGTGGCCTGAGTGTTTTCCCCATAGTCCATGCATGGAAACGCCTGAATTTCCGTTCAGCATGGGGGGCAAAGCTGCCCCCTCCACAGCACCTGAGGCTTGAGAAGGGGGTGCCATGCAAGGCCCGCTGCAGGTTGTCCTGTCCCCCAGCACCTCACTGCGGTGCCCCCCACCCCCACAGGCAAGTGCAGCCTAGTTAACTTTTCTGGAAATGAAAATGTTGGGGCACCAGGTTCTCCTTCTTGTTGCTGAAGCTGCTGCTGATCAGCTGCTCTGCAGGCAGGAAGGTCTGGAGAAAGTTGCTTCCTGGCCCCAGCCAGTCTTCCGCCACTTCGCTCTCCACCTCTCCCCTCCCTGCCCTTCTCCTCACTGTTTCTGCCCCTTCCCCATCCCTGGCCTTCATTGTCCTCTTATTTCCTGGCCCTGGCCTTGGTTTTTCTGCCCCAGCTGCTCTCCATCTTCTTCCTCTTCCTCTTCCTCTTCCTCTTCCTCTTCTTCTTCTTCTTCTTCTTCTAGATTTTCAACTAAAAACTAAAAAATGATCAATCATCAAATACATCGGACGTACTGGGTCAGCCCCCTATAACATATCTTTTTAAAATTCTATAGTCATATTCAAATCAATTTATAAAAATTTAAAGACATCTTTAAATCTAAGCCAAGTCCTGTTTCTCCAGCCAATCGTAGAAAAGGTCCCAAGTTTGATAGAAGTCAGTATCTTCCTTCTCCTTCAGTAATAGAGTCAATCTGTCCATTTCTGCGCAGTCCAGAATCTTTTTTAAAATCAGTTCCTCAGTGGGTAGTTCCTCACTCTTCCAGTACTGAGCAAGCGCAATCCTTGCCGCTGTGATTAAATGTAGCATCAAATACATTTCTTGTTTGCTAATATCTTCCGGTACAATGCCTAACAAGAAAATTTCAGGTTTAAAAGCTAAGGGTTTTTGTAGCATTTCCTCAAGCCATTCATGTATTTTAATCCAATACTTTTTCACATATTCTCAGGTCCACCACATATGGTAAAAAGTACCCACATCATGTTTACATTTCCAACATCTGTTTGACAAATATGGAAACATCTTAGCTA